GATTTACAGTAACAACGATGGAGAGTAAATGTAGGGTTCCCGAGACACCACATAACCACGCATCTCAGAGTACTGAGCATGTGGTGTGGAAGTCATTTGTCTCTATTGAGACAATAGACTCAATCTACATTGAGTCTCAATCTACAGCAGACATCTGACTGCTCCCCTGAGCTGCCAGGAGGTGGCGGGTGGTGGAGGGGGGGAGGACTGTCTGCTACTCATCTGAGAACCCCCCAAACCCCCAAAACCTCTGGAGCTGAGTGCTCCAGAACTCAGTGAGTGCTCGTTGAATGAGTAAAACAGAAATGCAGTAAATAAATGGAAAGAAATCTGTCTTCTGTGGGGCAAAACAATGGACTGATCTGATCACATACATTTAAAGCCATGTCAAGAGTAAATAAAATCAGCTAATGTGTCTTAAATCCATATGAAAGAATTCAAAGAAAAAGTGAGATAGTTCTTCAGTTTCTACAGAGAGCTATAGTAATGCCAGGGAAATCTGTGTTTCAAAACATCATTAAAATATTGGAATAAAATCTCACGTTTCAATTACTAAGAATAAGCATCCCTCACGGAATAGGGTGTACACAGAGACAAAGGAAACCTTTGGCAAGAGCTAAGAGAACAACATAGGCCAAAAGAGGAGCATGTTAAGGCTTTCTGAAATCTACAGGGAAGGGGTTCTTTGTGCCACACTAAGGACAAGACTCATAAATGCTCTGGAAGAAGAGAAGCAGGGAGAGGCCCTCTCCCTCAATCTCATGGAAACAAACAGGTCAAGAAAACTCTACAGCCCCCTACCCCCAGCCATCTGGAGGGAAGGGAGCAGGGGTAATTAGAGATGGCAGCCATGTCCTGGTGGCCAGAATGTGCACTGGCCTTCCACACCGGGCCTGCACCCAAGGGTGTACACCCTGGGATCCTCTGCCCACAAAGGGAGCCCAGCCATCTAGGAAGGGTTACTCTTCACAGCCCCTCTGTGGAATAGATACTAAAAAGTAATATCATCAAGCACATTCTGAAGTCCCAATTAACTGGACATAGCACAACACACTTTCTGAAAAGAAAACATGAAACCAGAGAAGTCTATTAGCATTCTTTGAGGAGGGAGAAACAGGCCTGGAGACGAGGGAGAAACCCAGGGCTGAATTATGTTTAGACTTTCAAAATTCCTCCTGACAAAGTTCCACCCCAAGGTTCATTTGCAACAGTTAGTCGCTCTAGAATGTGCGGGGTAAATCGCCATGGATTGGAACTGTCCTTGGAGACAGGAAACAAAAGATAGCATAAACAGGTACTTTTCTGGATGAAGAATTATAAACAGTGGGGATCCCCAAGGATCACTGGTACTCCCAGACTTAGTTTAAACGCCCGTAGATCATCTGAAGGAGAGAATGCTCAGATGCTTCCAGGCCTGCGGTTGAAATGAAGGGTCTGGAGACAGATGGCAGACCAATGGTGGATAACTGGCAGGATAAGCTGATGAGTTAGCAAGGAAGGGCACACTGAAGCTTTAGCGGGGACAAGTCTCCGTCAGTGCATTTCGGAGAACATCGAGCAACCAGTAACAGAATGGACTCTGTCCAGCGTGTTTACAGCCCGGGACAGGATCTTGGGGTCTTTGCAAAGTGTTTGTTTGCTAACGGCCGTGCACACACAACCAAGTGTTCGGAAAGTGCTAAAAAGCCTTCAGAAACTGCACTGGAAGCTAAGCCAAAAATAGGATTCTCCCTGGGATCCACCCAAACCTGGCGGTGTTATGACTTGCCCCTAGGAAAATAACACCTTGGTACCATAGAAGGGTAAGTAAAGTAATCAGCCAGGTACAAGACTTTTCCTGGGATGCTGGACTGCTTTGTTCTTTTTATTATTATTATTTTGTTTAAATTCAGTTTGCTGACACATAGAACACCCAGTGCTTATCCCATCACATGCCCTACTTAGTGCCCGTCATGCAGTTACCCCCATCCCCTGACCCCCCTCCCCTTCTGCAACCCTTTGGTTTTTTCCCAGAGTTAGGAGTCTCTCATGGTTTGTCTCCCTCTCTAATTTTTCCCCACCCAGCTTCCCCCCTTCCCTTATGGTCCCTTTCATTATTTCTTACATTCCACATATGAGTGAAACCATATGCTTTGTTCTTTAGAGTGGAAAGATGAAGCCAAAAAGATGATATGGTCAAAGTCTATAAAACCTTGCAAGTTACTATGATGAAGGGGGCGCCTGGGTGGCTCAGGTGGTTGAGCATCTGCCTTCAGTTCAGGTCATGAGCTCAGGGTCCTTGGATGGGGCTCCTGCATTGGCTCCCTGCTCAGCGGGGAGTGTTCTCCTTCTCCCTCTGCCCCTCCCCTCCCCTCTGCTCATGCTTTCTCTCTCTCTCTCAAATAAAATATATATTTTTTAAAGTTAGTATGATGAGAAAAACAACTTTAGTTTTTCCAAGTTGCTGCCTGTGCATTTTACAGTGTGAGAACCCTGCTGGCACCCAGTGCCTGGACTTTTAGATCAGGACTCAGGTTTAGGGTTCATTCTCTCCAGTAGCTCCTGCTTTTCTTTTCCCAGGATACCTTTTGAATTAACCCTTAGAGTTAAGCCCAAGAAAAGTTAGTGACCTCCACCCCCACTGCCTTACAAGTAGTAGGTGCTTGCTACCCCACTCTTTGTCTCCTGCTCTTTCTTGACCTGGGATCCTGGGATGGAGGGCTGCCCCTCACCTAGCTCACCTCATGCCCCCCCCCAACCCCACTCTTTCTGAGATCTGTAAGTAATAAGGCTTGTGACTCCAGTTCCCTTATGTGGGTTATCGAAACTGCTCCTTCAGTCAAAACCACCCTGTGGGTCTCGCTTGCCCAAAGTAGGAGCTTGGATGCTGAGGGAACCCCCTGCTGACCCCTTGTGGGGGGCTTGTGCCCCCTCATCGCACAGGTCATAATCTGCATATTCCTAATGCAATACACCTGCTCCGGCTTCTCAACACAGTTATGGAGAGAGTGAACAAGGCCTGGTTCATCAAATCTGAGACAGCCAGACCCACGGGAGCCCTTGAAGTTTGAAAGAGGAATTTGAAACTAAGTTTTATTTCGATTAAAGAGGATTGGGTCCCACCCTCAGTTGCAAATTGAAGCAAGTAAGTTCCTCAAAACATGGTATATAGGCAAAAATTTGGGGGTTAAGGAGATGAGAGTAAGTGCAAGCAATTTTACCAGTAAATGACTGATGGATTAGGAGCTGTTGGCAACATACCCCTGTACTCGTGAGGTTGGTAAAAGTATTTCTTGGGACCAGTGTTGGACCGTTAGCTCCCTCCTTGTCAGGAGTCTGGGCACACATGTGAGAGAATCCTAAATCAAGCCAGTTTCAACAGAATAAGGAACTATGCTGGCTCCCACAGCTGGAATGGGTACTCACAGAGCTCAGAGGAGGTGCAGGGAGCCCTGAAAATCTCCACCAGTCCCAGAAAAAGCTCACCAGATAAAATGCAATTTTAGTAAAACCAGTATGACCCTACCAACACAGCTTCCAGGTGCCAACACTCTCCCTCAGGTTGCTACCTGCAGACCTATCCTATGCAGGAACCAGAGACCAGGCCAGCCCCCCCACCCCACCCCACCCCCCGCACCCTGCAAGTCTCAGGACAGACTCTGATTGGTCCACTTGGGTCATGCACCAGTCACGGCTTTATCGGAAGTGCTTATTAAGTTATCTGTCTCACCTTGACTTTTAAGTCCAAGAGGATAAACTGACAGACTCAACCTGAGTCTTCACATGTACCCAGGATTGATGAAGCGTGGCAGGACTTCTAAACCTAGCAAATCCCTACCTGTTAGTCACCTGGGAGAGCTAATGAAAAATGCTGATGCCCAGGCCCTACCCAGGGATTCAGATTCGGCCACTCCGGAATGGGTCCTGGGCAGTATTCCTGCTAAACTTCCTCAGAATGATGTCCCCAAAGACTAAATCCCTCCTGTTCTTGAGATCTCTGGTTGGGCTCCCAGGTGCTAAGAATGGACACCCTAGCAGAGCACTGCTGGCCCTCCACGCACTTTCCCAAACTCCTGCTCTGTCTTCCTGTGGCCTGATCTCCAACAGCCACCCTCCTGCTTTCCCAGCTCCACAGGCAGGCCACACCTTGGGATGTGTTATACTCACTGTGCCTTCTGCCTGGAATCCTTGCCCTGCTCCTCCTCCCCTGGCTCTCATCCCCCCCCCCAACTCTTCCACACTGGGAACACTCCCCCTGCTATGGGGAGTCTGGGCTGAAGGCCCCTGGCACCTATGTTCTGATGTCTCCACTGTCAGAGTCTGTGTTCTGCTTTATTGAAAGCCATGGTCACCTGTCTAGCCTTGACTTAAAGCCCAGTGCAGACTTGCATCAAAGGAATGAGTGGCCCCATACTGCACATCAGGCATGTGCTTGGTGTGCTCAGCTCCAGGCTTGTCAGCCACTCATTGGGTGAATCCTTAACTTTACTCAGCCTCAGTTTTGCATCTGTAAAATGGGGATGATCGTAGAACCTACCTTAGCTTCAAGTTGTCTAAAAACATATTTAGCTAGCACTTGACATAATGTGAGAGCACATTGTAATATTTGCCATTATTACAGTCACTCTTACTGAAAAATGCATCCTTCAATAATCCTCAAGAGACACCCCACCTTTTCGGAAAAGCCTTCCCTGACCTTCCTCTAATCTCTGCTTCTACCGGCAGTTCAAAGCTAGGAGCTGTCTTATTTAGGTCTTTCGTCCTCCCAGAGACTACCATGCAATAGTCCTGATTATACATTTATTGACTGATGACTCAGGCCCTGGATTTGGGAGCACCCTGTTTGTACCCAGAGGCAAGGAAAGCTAGAGTCTCTGACACCCCTCACCCCCTGGGAGGACTTCAGCCTTATGTAGAACCTCGCCTTTCGGAAACCCCCTGCCCCTCTACCACACAGCCCCATTGCCTAAAGGGGGAGGGTCAGGGGGTAGGGGTAGGGGACCAAGGTTCAGTGCTGGGCCCAACAGCCAGGGTTGGGGGAAAGGGAGCAGGAGCCATGCCAGGGAAGATCTCTAACCTGAGGCTCAGAGTACAGCCTGGAGGAGAACCCATAAGGGTCATCCTCTATAACGCGAACTGTTTATATGAAGTCAGCTACACCTTGAGTTAAGTGAGTTTCTTTGGTGAATGGACTGCTGAGTTCCATAGCCCAGTGTTCCAATATTTCTTATTGCAAAGACCTGTGGAGTTGGAATAAGCTGGTTGGTTTGGCCCATATAGACGGATTGCTCAAGGCCAACACAACCCCATACTGCTTTTTTGCGGAGGCTGGATTTCTCTTGATAGTCTAAACTACAGAAAGGCCAAATCTCCACTTTTATGGTGTCCAAATTCAGCCTCACACATCTCTCCTCGTTGGAAAAAAAAAAAAAAAGCCTTCTGCGTCCCTTTCTTAAATCATTTGCTTATGTCCTAAGAATTGGATCTCCTCACAAAATGGCACCCAATCCTGTAGCAGGAACTCTGGGGGAATTCCCATGGCCCAGTCAATGCCCCTCCCAAATTGTACTGTTGCAGTCTTGGAGTGACAATATTATCAGTCTGCCCTTCCAGATGAAGAAATTGAGGTACAGAGGCTCCAAGTCCTGCTTCCAGAGGTCCACCTCCTGCAAGGACTGCATGGCAAAGGCCTGCTTTCAGGTCTTCAGAAGCCTCCATGGCTTCCCCACTGGGCCGCATTCCCCACTGGAGATGCCACAGCAGTGTCTGTGGTTGATTCATTGTTGGGGCTGCTGAGGATCCTGATGAATCCCCTCTCTCTCATTAGCGAGAAGCTTCAGAACTAACTATGAAGGGCACAGTCCAGCAAATGGTGTGAATTGATGGATGGACCTCAAAGGTACCACTGTGCAGACTGGCTCCGTGCCTGCCTCAGCGGGCCAGGGCTGTTCCGGAGAATAAACCACTAGGTCTGGCCCAAGGATGGGGCCACGCTCCAGAGAAATACCAGTAGAGCCCTGGGCTAGCATGTTGCAAATCGGGGCTTAAAATGAACCCCAGTTTGGGGGAATGATAATTACAGCCCATTGCACCCAGACCTAACTCTTTGGGGGAGATGTGGGGGTGCAACTTTACAGGTGAGCAGTTGCCTTCGTGGCATCTTGCCCCAAGGAAACAACAGCTTCCTTTTGCCCCATGGCACAGCTGGCTGAAACAGTGAGCTCCCTTTCTCACCTGTTTTTTTGCAGAAGCCAGATTGAGAAGTACGAGTGCCTGGGTTGTGAATTCACGGGAACTGGGGCTTGCTTCCCCTTGCCCAAGGCTTGCTCCTCCAGAGCAACACTCCCTCCTGGCAGGCAGAGTCCTGAGTGCAGGCACAGCCTCGCAGCCTGTGTGGCCTTTCGGCAAGTGAGGACTGCGATAGTGCTTAAGAGAAACATCAAAATTGGATAAAAATTCAGGTTTTTTTTCCAAAGAACCAGATGAGTCGGCTTGGAGGAGAGGTGAGGGGGGGCCGAGGGAGGAATTGGTTCGACTCAAAACACTTGCTCTGGCCTATTTGTGTTCCATCCAAAAGATGTTTCTTGGGGAAAGTTGCCAGTCTCTTAAATATCCCAACAGCGGCAGAAGAGCCCCAGGTCCTAGGCAACCTTGGGGAGGAGACATTTTTCTCCTGGAAAAATAAGCGACCAAGGTAGGGGAAGTCACCACCCTGATGCCCTCCCAAGAGCGGCCTTGGTGGCCCTACCGTGGCAGCCCCAGGAGGCCGGCCCCGGCGCACCGAAGAGACCGCTGCGTCCACACCTCCTCCGGGGTGGCAGCCGTCCTGCCGCCTCCGTCAGGCTCACAGGCCGCCAACTCGGGAGTGCAGCCCGGGCAAGTACTGGGGAAGCAGCGAGGCGCTTGAAGGGGGTGCGGGAGGCTCGGAGCCCAGGCGGGGTGGGTGGCCTGGGGTGTCGGGGGAGGCAGCCGCGAGGTGCCGTGGCTGCTGCGATCCAGCGGGCCACCCCGACACCCCCGGGCATCTCCGAAGTGGCTTTTCCAGCCTCCTGCCTGGGGACACGTCTGAGCCAGGGAAGTGAACCCGGGGGCGGGGGTGGCGGCTTCGGGACGGCAGTCGGTGTGGAAAGGGGTCCCGGGGCCGGTCTCCGAGCGCAGTTTCTACTCGGGTTGGATGTTTACAGGTTGGATTCTGGGGGCCTCTGCAGGCCGTCCGGGGGGGGGGTGGCGGGGCGCTGGGCCCCCTCCGCCTGGGCCGCCGCGGGGACCGGGGAGCCGGGGCGCGCCCTGCGCCCCTCCCCAGGCCCGTGCTCCCGAGTCCCCCGAGGCCCGCGTCGGAACCCCGCCGCCTCGGTCCCCGCCCAGCTGGGCCCCCCCACCCCCCGCGGGCCGCGCTGAAACCCGAGTGCGAGGGGGCGGGCCGCGCAGACATTGGAGGGGCCCCGGGAGGGAGGGGCGCGCGGGGAGGGGCGCGGGGAGGGGGGGCGCGCCGGGCGCCCGCGGCCGAGGGGGACCGAGCCTCCCGGCTCGCTGCTCCCGCCGGCGGAGCGAGGCTGCCCTTCCTCCGCAGCGTGATTTATTTTCCTCTTCTTTTCTTCTAAACTCTTCTTCCAGGGAGAGGCTAGTGGTCACAGGCCGAGCTGGATGGATGGGTATGGGGAGAGGGGCAGGACGTTCAGCCCTGGGATTCTGGCCGACCCTCGCCTTCCTTCTCTGCAGCCTCCCGGCAGGTAAGGCGCTGCCCGCGGCCCGGCCGCAGCCCCCGGCGCCGCGCGCGTCCACCTGGAGTCCGCCCGGGCCCCGGCCCCGGCCCCGGCCCCCGCCGCCCACGCCCACGCCCACCGGTCTTTGTTTCTCCCGCGCCCCGCGGACGGCGCGAGGGATGCCCGCGGGGACCCGGGGTGGGGGGCGGGGGGCGGGGGGCGAGGGGAAGGCCCCCGCCCGGGCGGCTCCGGGAAGGAGCCGAGGCGGGGGGCGGGGGGCGTCGCAGGGGCCGGGCGCGCCTCCCTCCTTCCCAGGAAGGGGGGTCCTGGGGACGCGCCCCTTAGGGGCCCCGAGGGAAGGGGGACTCGCGGCGGGGGGCACTTTCCCGGGCTACTCGCCCAGGGGCGTGCGGACCTGCGGGTGCCCGGGGGTGGCGCCGCCCCCCGCCCCCGCCCCCGCGGGGAAGCCCACGCACGCGGCTCACGCGAGCTCGGGTGCCTGTTTGATAACATTCCGCGTCGCCCCCTGTTTGTTTTTATTGTGTCAGAAAGGGAGAGAATTTCAGAATTAAAGCTGAAAAAGCCATCTGTTTCCAATGAATCCCCCATAGTTTTTCACAATGTTTTTGGCAGATCGCTGCTTTCAAATTCCTCCGAGCCCGGACCTCTTGTTTTTGTTGGGGGAAGGGAAACCAGCTCCACAGAGAAGCATTTGTTCCTTCCCAAACGCTCCAGTTTCTTTACTTTCCCCCCCTCCCTTTCGGGGGGAGGGGAAGGCACGAAACTTAAATCCCCGGTCTGTTTTCTTTATAATGTTTCATAAAACTTTATTTTATTTTGACCATATGCTACTCACAGCCTGGAAAGGCCAGTTAAACCCTTTATACCCATTTTACTCCTGCTACGAGCTCAAATAAACCCAGTGTCGCGGGCCGAATGGTCCCGTTGCGAGGCGGGACCCGGGCCGGCCCCGTGTGCTGCGGGGCGCCGAGGTGCCTCTGCAGAAGCGCGAGCTCCCCGGGCTGCGCGGCGGCGGGACGCGAATCCGCGGCCCCGCGCACGCCAGCTCTCGGCCAGAAAGGAGCTCGGGCCGACCCGGAGGGGGTTGTTTTGTTTTGCTTCGCAGCCAACTGGGTTTCAGGAACTGGCGGAACCGGGCAGCCCGGGGCTGGGCCTGGCTGCGAGCTGGGGCTGCGGGCGCGCGGACCGTGCCGGCAGCGGCGGGCGGCCGGGGATCAGTTTCCCTTCTCGCCCCAGCCCCGCTCCCTCGGCAGCTGCGCGCCCTCGGGGCGTCCCGGAGAGCCGCAACCTGCTCCCGGCTCTGGATTCCTTCGGGGAGGCCCCGGCCGAGGACAAGCCGGGGGTGTCAGCGACCCACCGAGCCCTCGGAGCCCCGCGCGCCCCGCGCGCCCCCGGCCTGTAATGTGAACACCTCTCAGCGGTGAGCCCCGCGGCAGGGTGGCCTACGCCTCCCACCACACACACACCTTTTAAAAGGCGGTTTCCTCATCTACAGAACGAACGGTCCGCCCGAAAGGCTGATTTGATTCTCTTCCCAAAACTCGAAAAAATAAAATGAAAATGTAAAAGACAGCCTTCCTTAAAAGGAAATCCACCTTTTGGAGAAGCAGGACTTTGCTCTGCGTGTGCATCTCGGTTCGGTCTAGATAAAGATCCGGCCCATTGGAAGTTTTATCAGATGGGTTGATAAATAGCTTTTGTCCCTTGGCTGCCTTGGGGGATGTGATCTCAGCTCAGAGCTGAAATTGAGAAGGGGGGCTTAGAGGCCCTTAAAACAACACCTTCCCGCTCTTAAAGGGGCAGCACTTGTTAACTTCTTGAATTGGGGAGAGGAAAAGGAGGGCTGGCAGAGGGGCGGCTGCCAGCCCCTGGGGTGGTGGTGTTTTCTTTGTTGCTCATTTCATGTCTCCATCTGAAGAACTTTATTTTAAAGTATTCCCCCCGCTGTCCCAGGAAAGCTGGTGGGTTATATAATTCACAGGGCGAATTCCATCACTTTTGTTTCCTAGAAGCCCATTTCGTTTTTTGGCTTCAAGGCTGGTAACTAAAACCTGGCAGAGGGAATGGATAGCCGCCGGACTGTCATGCCAACTGGCTCGGGTTTCTTCTAGTATGAGGCCTTGACAGCTGCATTTAGTCAAAATTGCCCACCTTACTGAAAACTGAGCTTCCAGTCTCCCCAAACGAAATACCTCCAAAAGGGAGGAGCTCCAAAACCTTGCGTGTTCAAGAGATCAGGGTCAAAAGACAGTTTCTTAAGGAAGAGATGAAATGGGTTGTCTTCTTGCCACATAGAGATGGACTGTCCTCTTCTTAGACCCCAATGGCAGAGAAGCGGCAGGGCTGATGGAGAGGGGGGAGCGCCAGGTGGGTGTTGGAGAAAACGCAGAGCAAGCCGTGGAGACCCCCAGGAGCCCTGCAAGGCCTCAGCCTCTCCCACTGAAGACAAGTGGAATCTGGCTAGAGCAGCCCAGTGAAAGAATAGGTTTGTTCAGCGCTAGTTAACTTGAGTGGCTGCCAGGAGTAAACCCATAGGAGTGCAAATTAAGTTGGACATGGTGATGTGAAGAAAGATGCCTTAACCTCTGTAGACTGAGAGGGTTTGTGTTTTTGGAGAGTGTTTACATGTACTCACTCAGTGCATATGGCACCCTGGCACACCTACTGTGTTCCTGACTCAGTGATGGGCATTCGGGGCCTTCCTCCCAGCTCAGCCAGCAGATCCCCAGCCTCTGAATGGGAAACGGCTCTGCAGTGTTCCCCAGACCGCAAGGGTGTGTGCTTGGACGATGCTGTGCCCACAGTGGATGTGGATGGACCAGTGGCCACGTCTAGCTGGTTTTGGGGGGTTGGGGAGGAGGCCTAAAAAGACTTCTTAGAGGAGTCTTCCACAAATAACATCTTGTTCAAAATACAATTAATAGGTACTTCTTCAACTTTGAAAGCATTGTGACTTAATAATAACAGATTGCTAAGAGAAACCCATCAAAGGGTTGTAGATACGTTGGCATACCTCCCGTTAACATCATATGGATGCTATGTTCTAGCAGTGGTTCTTAAAGTGTGGCCCCTGGACCCGCCGCGTCAGCCTCCCCTGGGAGCTGGCTAAACATACGTTCTGGGCTGAGGCCAGACCTACTGAAGCCCATGCTCTGGGGTGGGACCTGCAGTCCCTACTCCACGAGGCCCTCTAGGGGGTTCTGATGCATGCTTAGGTGGGAGGACCATTACTGCCTGTCTTTCCCCCCCACTCCTTTCTTTTGCTTTAACTCTGAAACTGCGCCTGTTAGAGAAATGTTAACCCTCAGGAGAGATGCTAAGGCTCTGGGAGACCAAGGCTCTCTGTGGTGTCCAAGCGCATCTGGGTCATTGCAGAGATGAGAAAAAGCTGGTATTTAGAAATGTGCAAGCCAGTTGGTTTGCTCACATTTTTGTCCTCCCCATGGCACTCGGTGTCCTAAAGGGAGAGAATGAAGTGATGTCTGGTTGCAAGAGCCAGGTGACAGCAGAGCCAGCTAGCATGTGGGTCTGCACGTGACACACCAAGGGGTCTGCAGGGCAGGGCCTTAGCTCCCAGGGAGGGCAGCGCATAAAGTCCTATGTACGGCTTGCCCCTTAGCCCGTGAGCAGAGAGGATCTCTGGTCTTGTGGGTGAAGAAGGGAAACCTGTGTGTAAGGTTTAAGCAATTGCTAGCAGTCACCCCAGAGCTCAAAGGAGAAGTGGAGACAGGTGATCCATGGGCTCCGATGAGGATGCTCCGTGAGATGGGGAAGAGGAGGGGTGGTCCCAGGACCCTTTGGAGGTAAGAGGATGGGGTGGGGGCCAGTTTATATAATGGGGGTCATTCAGTTCCTACGAAAACTCTCTTCAGTGAAATATGCAAGGCCCTGCACAAACTGGGCAGAGAACCCCAACTTTATGTTTTCATTGAGTGGTTAGCTACTTTGCCGTTTTCCTGCTTGGCCGAATTCAACCTGCGGAAAACTGAAAGCACTGTTTCTTCTAGGGTGACCAATTCATCCTAGCATACCCCCAACTTTTCTAGTTTTAAAGCTGGAAAGTCTAGTGTCCTTGGAAACCCTCTCAGTCCTGGGCACACCAAGGTTGTTGCTCACCTTAGATTCTCCCCATCCTGGCCCCAGGACTAGGGGCCTGGTTTGAGTCTGTTAGGGACTGCCCAGAACCGTGAAGCCCTGAGCATGAGGCGGGCCTGTCCATTCAATCCAGCTGCTTGGGGCTGGGCTTCTTTCTTACACCCCTTCCTGTCTGTTCCCATTGTCTCCTGGCTACAAACAGTTGACCAGCCCTGGGACCCGCCTCTCAGTCCCCCAACCTCCGTGCACACCCCCAAATGAATTGTCCTAAAAGTCCTGCTCAGGAACCCGTGCCTCCTCGTAGTCCTCTTTGGAGCATCCAAAAGGGGAGGACCCTCTGACTCCTGCCCCCCACCCACTTTCCCCAGGCTTCTGGCACATGCCCAGGCTCCAAGTCACTGCTGCCCCACCCCCAACTCTGCCACCACCCCACCACACCTTCCCTGTGGGCCACCTCCAGGCCTTCCTTGCTCGAGCCACTCCCTGGTTTGGAATGGGAATGCCCGCTTGATCAAAGCCTAGGTTCAGAGCCATTTGTGGGGGTCCAGTTCCATCCCTCCAATGACCTAGACACCTGTTCCCTTGGCTGCAGACACCTCTGCTTCCTCCCAGGTTCATTATTTTGTGGGTCTTGGGTTTTTGTCTTCTCCTCAATCACTAGTTCTGCTTATAAGGAAAGAGCCCATTTTCTGTTTCTTCATACCGTTCTCCTTGCTACACACCCTGAACACACCTGGCACAATCTAGAAATTGTAGGGCCCTTGGGCTTTTTGCATTTCTGTTTTGTTTTTTCTCAAGAGACAGGAGACCAAGGGGGTGGGGGGTTTCCCCAGTTGCCCCAATCTTTTTTCTAAACTTGCTTTTGGTTATAAAAGCAATACTCATTTTTTAAATCTAAAACCCAAAAAGGA